CTTAATATGTTGTACAGTAATTGACATCTTTGATAATGGCTTACGTAAGCCGAAAGCTTAGATTGGATTAAAAAATATGGATCAATATTGTGATTTTCTTTCTTCGTTTAATGATAATGCTATTAAGCTTATCAGACGTTATGAAAAGAATTTACATAAAATAAATAGACAACACTTGTCTATATTATTTAATGAAACATGTATGAATGAAAAAATGCTGCCTAAATACGCACATATATATATATATATATATATATATATATATATATATATATAAACAGTGACTATTACGGCTAATATTGCAAGACTTCGGTAAATCAAATCGAGTTCTCTCAGTGATTGTGTTTATCTAAAATAAATACGCTTAAATTCACATTCATCCCTGCCGTGTGCTGACGTCTTAGTGGTAGAATACCCGACTGACGCCTAAAAAAATACCCCTGTAAAAAATCTATTTTTGGCCCACACTAAATATATATATATATATATATATATATATATATATATATATCCCTGCTGTGCGTCAACGGTAGAATTCCCGACTGACGCCAATTCAGTCGGGTTTCGATAATAGCTACAGGCAACCGGATGTCTATCCACACTGATGAGCTGTGATACAGCGAAACAGTCTGTCTTTAGATGACTATATTTATAGGTATCAATTCGTTTTTTACGCCTTCTATTACTTTTCTCCATTCCCTGGGCTAGGATCAAAGTGTAGCATATGTTCTCCACATCTGTAATGATAACGTCAATATTAGCTACTTACTTTTCATTTTTTTTTTTTACGGTAAGCCACTCGAGGTAGAGGGTTAGGGTAAGAGTTTATAAGGATAGAATGTGAAGATAACAGTTACTTGAAGAGATCTAAATTTTAGTCTCTTCAAAACTTGCGTAAAATAATCCTTCTAATAAAACGCTAGATCTTCACGCTTAAAAGAAATGATGTATTATTTACAAGAATAAAAGACAAGAAAAACGTTCCGAGTGAAATGACCGATGATTCCTAATTTGTGGGTCGGGGACACAAATATTTGGAAATGCTTGAAAGAAACCCAAATTTCTACAAAAAAAAAACCGTTCTCACGAAAGTTATCAGCTCGTCGGTCCCATAGGTCAAAGGTCAAATATTTCAGTTCACAAAATACAGTTTCCTTCCACTAGCTTTATAATCATTGACCTTTCTGACACGACCCCCACGCCGACTTGATAATTACTATCAAATTCGAATTGATCTTGTCCAAATATTATTTCTTTTAACAATTCGCACTCGCTCTCAGAAATCTTTCTTCCTCGGCTTGCTGATAAATGTCGGTCGAAAGGATAATTTATGGTGATTGATGTTGAAAAGGGAAATTTTTGTTCCAGAAATGCCTGTTTTCTTTGGAAATTCAGCGACCATTCCTGGAAAAAAATGTTTTGTATATATATATATATATATATATATATATATATATATATATATGTGTGTGTGTGTGTGTGTGTGTGTGTGTGTGTGTGTGTGTGTGTGTGTGTGTGTGTGTGTGTGAAAATATATAGAAAATAGGAAAGAACTGGTTAGGTAAATAATCGAAAGTTCCTTAGTATTTTAGTTATTATTTTTAAAAGAGCATACCTACCCAATTTAAACAATTCGCCCTAACTGTTACCATGAAAATTTTGATTTCAATTATTAAAACACGTAAATTTCAGAAATACGTTATTCAAAAAAAAATTTCGCTTGAAGATGGAACAGAGCTTACTTTAACTCAATTTAATTCAAATAATTATATTGAAGTTTTCGGCTCTTGTTTCGAAATATGAGACCTCATATGTCGCGAGTTGGAATCATATTTTTAAATAAATAATTATGTGTGTATATATATATATATATATATATATATATATATATATATATATATATATATATGTGTGTGTGTGTGTGTGTGTGTGTGTGTGTGTGTGTATATGCGTTGTGTGTGTGTGTGTGTGTGTATTGTATTTAAGCCCATTTCGTCTCTACTTAACTTTATTTACTTACTATTACGGTTATATTAAAACCTGCCATCTTTTAAAAAAATCATTTCACCCCAAGCAAGGCAATAAAGCCACTAAGATGCAAGGGATTACTGAGCGTATGACAATATGAGAAAAAGAATAGAAGAGAAAGAAATCATTATTAAGTAGAGAGAACAATACGAGAACAAGAATTTAGAAGATAGAACATAGCGAATGACATTGTTTCAATTTTTGAAGATCAATGTTGACTGGGAAGCCAGAAGCCGGAAGGGAATTCCACAAAAGAGAAGGGTGATAGAAGAAACTGTTAGCATAGAACTTGCGGTTACATTTTAGCCATTTCAACTGTAAAAACATGAGACCTTGTCTTTAATCTAGTATTGTGCTTAAATTACTAAAGCCTACGTACCATAGAGCAATGATCATTACTAATTGTTATTTTTGTAATTGTTGTTAACTCAGTAGAAGGCTCAAGAGACACTCAAGTTAATGAATGAGCAACTTGTAACAAAATGTAACAACATTCATGGAGGGAGTAATAGATGTAATTTTTTTTTAATCATTTCACCCAAAGCAAGGCAATAGCGCTCATAGGATGATAATGCTTCTTTGAGTGAATGAGAAGAATTTAGTGAAGAGAAAGGACAATAAAAGAACTGTTTTCAGGAAGATAGAAAATGGCGATAATGCCACTAAGACGCAAGGGGTTACTGGGAGTGAAAGAGAATGAGAAGAATTTAGTGAAGAGAAAAAATCAATAAAGGAACAGGTTTCAGGAAGATAGAAAATGGCGATAATGCCACTAAGACGCAATGGGTTACTGGGAGTGAAAGAGAATGAGAAGAATTTAGTGAAGAGAAAAAATCAATAAAGGAACAGGTTTCAGGAAGATAGAAAATGGCGATAATGCCACTAAGACGCAAGGGGTTACTGTGAGTGAAAGAGAATGGGAAGACTTTAGTGAGGAGAAAGGAATCATATTTTTAAATAAATAATTATATATATATATATATAGATAGATAGATAGATAGATAGATAGATAGATAGATAGATAGATAAAGAACAGGTTTGAGGAAAACAGAAGATGGCTATAATGCCACTAAGACGCAAGAATTTACTGGGAGTGAAAGAGAATGAGAAGACTTTAGTGAGGAGAAAAAACAATAAAAGAAAAAGTTTCAGGAAGACAGAAGATGGCGATAATGCCACTAAGACGCAAGGGGTTACTGGGTGAGAAATAGAATGGATAGACATTGGTGAGGAGAAAAGACAATTAAAGAATATGTTTCAAGAAGATAGAAAATGGTGATAATGTCACTAAGACGCAAGGGGTTACTGGGAGTGAAAGAGAATGAGAAGACTTTAGTGAAGAGAAAGGACATTAAAAGAACAGGTTTCAGGAAGACAGAAGATGTTTAATGAAAATGAAAGAGAATGAGATTTTATTGGGGAGATGTGAAGAAGAGGACAATAACAGGATTCTGGACGACAGAAGATGGCGATTGACATTGCATTTAAATTGTTGAAGATTCCAGTGGAACTTCCTACTGCGTTCTTGCTTCGCTGATAAGCAAGAAATCGGCAAGGTGTTTCACTGGCGAGAAGTGCGAGAAAAGAAACTATTAAAACAGAACTGACGTTTGACTCTAGTTAGTTCAACAGAAAAAAAATGTGAGGCCATGTTTCCAATCTACTGGCACGCTTAAATTCTTAAATTCCAGACAATAAGGGAACAGCTCATCGCAAAAACTGATATGAAAATATTGGTTAAAAAAAAAACGAAACCCCCCAACCAAAAAAAAACAGAAAGAGGGAAAGATAAAGTCAACCCTAGACATGAATAGTTTGAGATTCCAGTGATCGAGGAAGCATCCTCACGTGCGTCTCTGTCACATTGCAACAGTTCCACGGGTAAAATGTTTGAGTGGAACTCCTTCGTTACTAATGGTATATGAAGTGAACGGGGTTAAGGACCGTGTACGTGGCTTCGTGTTTCTGGAATGATAAGGTCTGTATCTGCTAAACTACAGAATCTATTTCGTTCGAACATCTACCATAGAAATAACTGTGGCTAGCAAGGTCTCGACTGTCTAAAAAGAAAGGGGTGGTAGGATGGAAAACTATCCTTCACCTTTAAGGCCGTGAAATCATGCAGATTGTGTAGCCCCAATCCAGATCTGGCAGAAATACTCATCTTTTTTTTCTGATCTCTCTTGTAAATACAGAATATGGCAAAAAAAAAAGTTATGTATCTTTTTAACCATTTCACCCCAGGCAAGGCACTAAAGCGACTTCGGCAATATTATCCGTCCTTCACTCACTTTCCCACCACTGTAAAATTGCCTCCCTGTGCCTTTTTTTTATAAGTATTTTTGGGGGTAATTCTTCGGATGAGCTCTTCGCTATTGTACCTAGACTTTATGAATTTAAGCGTTGCACTAGATAGCGACGTCATATCAGTTAAGAGTAGAGTTCGCTAGATTTACCCGTAAATTTTAGGCTAAAAGTTTCTTTTCTCGCACTTCTCTCTTGTGGATCTCCCTACTGTCTCCATGCTTTCCATCCAACTTTAATCTGCGAAAATGAAAAAAGATATTTACTTTCCTCCTGATTATTCTTTTCTCTGTCCACCCATTATTAGTGTAACCCGGATATAAGAGAGTTGTCGGGACCGGAGAAGAAGTCTCTTATATCCGGGTTTCTCTTATATCCGGGTTTGGTCTATTTTATATACATTAACACAGGCTCTAATTTGGGACCAGAGAAAATCTCTCTTATATCCGGGTTTCTCTTATATCCGAGTCTCTTATATCCGGGTTACACTGTATTAATATTTCTGTTCTTAATTATTCCACACCCAAAACCTCTTGTATCATAGTGGCTTTGTTGCCTTACTTGGGGTGAAATCGATTAAAAAAAAAAAGATGGCAGGCAATAGGGAAACAAAATAGTAAAAATATTGTTATTATTTTAGTTTTATTCATGCTTACAAACCTATCAAGTTGAAACACCTGTTCTTGTGCGATCACTGAAGTTAAGCAATGTCGAGCCTGGTCACTGCCTAGATGGGCAACCGCTTGGGAATACCAGGTGCTCTAAGCTTGAATTCGCATATGGAGTAATAGAACTGAAGATGGCAAGACGTAGCCGCAGGTTCTACGCTAAGAGTTTCTTATTCTCTGGTATTTCTCGCTTATGGAACTTCTTTCTGGTTTTATTCTTTCCAGCCAACTTTAATCTGCAAAAGTTTAAATGCAATGTCAATCGTTATCTACTGTCTTCCTAATTACTCTTTTTCCTTCCTGTTCATTATTAATGTTTCTGTTCCTAATTCATCCACGCCCAGTAACTCCTTGTGTCTTGGTGGCTTTACTTCCTTGCATGGGGTGAAACCGATTAAAAATATGCTGAGAAAATATATGGAAGTCTTTCAATTAAAAGATTTTACAGCCCTTTACTCTAAAACTCCCTTCATGTACACATTCAGACTCTATCTATAAATATGGTGTATTTGTTATATTAATATTACACATTAGGATGGTTGCTAGAATTTGTGAATTTAAGCGCAGTACCAAACTGGCGTCGAGATCTCACCAATTTCCAGTTGAGCTGACTAAAGTAGACGGCCGTAAATTCTTACCTGCATGGGTGAAAACGAGTAAATAAAATATATGCTGAAAATATCGAAGAGTCTTTCAATTAAAAGATTAACACGATATGTTGTCCCAATTTTCCTTTCTTTTTTCTTCAACCCTTTAATAAAGCTCTTTTCATGTACGCATTCAAAGTCTATACATGAAAACACGATATTAGTTATATCCCAATATATAATAATAATAATATATGAAAAGAATTTTTACAGCCTTTTACTTCAAAGCCTATTTCATGTACATATCCTTTCATTTTTACAGCCCTTTACTCTAAAGCTCTTTTCATGTCCACATTCAAACTCTATCTATGAATATACTATATTTGTTATATTATGATTATATAGTAGGATGGTAGCTAGACTTTATGAATTTAAGCGCAGTACTAGACTGGTGTCGAGATCTCACCAATTTATAGTTTAGCTTGCGAGATGTAGCCGTAAGTTCTATGTTAACAGTTTCTTCTCTGGCACTTCTCACTTGTGGAACGCCTTTCTGATTCCATACTTTCCAGCCAACTTTAATCTCAGCCCAATACAGAATTAGACGGGAACTAAGACAAGAACATTGACGTTTTGTCAAAAATAGTCGCTCGATTGCTTGATTTGTTATTTACATCTTTTCAACGATATTTTTACAAGAATATTTACTCAGGACAAAGCCAAAAGTCACTCGAGATAGTGAGTAACAGTATAAGAGGTGCAGTTTCTATGGATATATTTTAAGTTCTATGTTAACAACGGCTTTAAGTCAGTTATTAACTGGAGCAAAGGATGGCTTGTTAATTTTAACCACCGTCAAAACAAAACTACTTTCTATTAATTGTCTGAGAGACCACTTTCTGTCTTCCATAACTATGGCTGATGCTAACCTCCAAGAGAGTGACTTGTTGCACGTTCTTGGACTAACGTTCGCGGCCGACATGAAGTGGAATGATTATATTGAATCCATTGCTAAGTTTGCTACTAAGAAAATTGTTTTACTGTATCGAGCTAAACATATTTTCCTCTCCAGAATCTATCTTACATATCTATAAATCTACCATTCGTCCATGCTTAGAATATTGCTGTCACATATGGTACGGTGTCCTGCTATATATCTAGAGCACTTTGATAAAATCCAAAGAAGAGTCAGCAATGTTATTGGTCCTGATCTGGCGGTTCGGCTTTCTCGCCGCTGTAAAGTTGCCTCCCTGTGCCTTTTCTTTTTTTTATAAATACTTTTAGGGTAATTGTTCGGATCAGCTCTTCTGTCTCCATTTTCTTTAGTTTAATTCCCCATCTCTTCTCTCATTAGGTGGCCAATGATGTCAGTCCTCTGGTGGATGCGGGGCGCCTTTCGTTTCGGGTGTGGTTTTCGTATTTTGTTGTGTTTCAATGAGTGTAATGGAGTGAGTGCTTGGGATGAATGAATGTTTTATATTATTAAAGTCACGCATTGATTTCGTTCAGTTAACTGGTGTTTCTGCCACATTTAAGGATTGTGTGTGTCGCGGCGGCGGTGGCGGCGGGGGGGGTATTGGTAATATTATTTTGTTTGGTTTCTTGTAAATAGCTTTATTCATTTTTGTAAATATTCATTGAGGTTTAGATTTTTTTAAATTGTTATTTTATCCCCCCCACAGACAATGAATTGTACACAAGGGGACTAGTTAGGATTTTCATAGAGACAATGAGGTATTATGGTGAATGTAGTAAGAAAGGTAAGTAAGAATGCGTTGTTTTGGTGTTAGGAATATTGTAGTATGTTTGGGTCAGTGTATGTAGCTAGTTATGTTTAATGTTAAGACAGAAGAAGACTGTCCTTTTCCCCATTCCCTATTTTTGGCCTTGTGCCACATTTTCTATAAATAAACAGGAATATATATCGCTCTTCCCTATGGTACCTAGACATTTTTAATTTAAGCGCGGTACTAGACTCCAGTCGAGATCTCAGCAATTTACAGTTGATCTGGCCAGAGGTAGCAGAAAATACTATGCTAACAGTTTCTTTTCTCGCACTTCTCGCTTGTGGTAATCCCTTTCCAGCCAACTTTAATCCGCAAAAATTTAAATACAATGTCAATCGCTATCTGCTGTCCTCCTGATTACTCTTTTCACTTCCCACATGTTATTAATTTTTCTGTTCCTAATTCTTCTACATCCTGTAAGTGGCTTTACTGTCTTACTTGAGGTCAAATCCAGATTTTAAAAAATATCAAAAACATTTTTTCATTTTTACAGCCCTTTACTCTAAAGCTTTTTTCATGTCCACATTCAAACTCTATCTATGAATACACTATATTAGTTATATCCTAATATATAATAATAATAATAATATACGAAAAGAATTTTTACAGCCTTTTACTTCAAAGCCTATTTCATGTACATATCCTTTCATTTTTACAGCCCTTTACTCTAAAGCTCTTTTCATGTCCACATTCAAAATCTATCTATGAATATACTATATTTGTTATATTATTATTATATAGTAGGATGGTAGCTAGACTTTATGAATTTAAGCGCAGTACTAGACTGGTGTCGAGACCTCAGCAATTTACAGTTTAGCTGGCGAGATGTAGTCGTAAGTTCTATGTTAACATTTTCTTTTCTCGCACTTCTCGCATGTGAAACTCACTTTGGGGTCCATGCTTTCGAGCCAAATTTAATCTGCAAAAATGTAAATGCAATGTCAATCGCTATCTGCCGTCCTCATGATTACTCTTCATTTGTTCTCGCTCCTTATTAATGTTTTTGTTTTCTAAATCTTACACCCCCAGCAGCCCGCTTGTGTCTCAGTGTCTTTACTGCCTTGGTTGGCGGGGTGGGGGAACTGCTTGAAAGAATAAAAAAGGTGAATATGAGCGAAGTAAATATTTTGTTATGATAAACGTAGAGTTAAATATATTCTTGTCGTTCAAAGTAGAGTCCAATAGCGTTATAAATTCCTCGGAGTAAAATATCTTTAATCATTTCTAAGATACAATGGTTCAAAGCATAATTCAGCAATTGGACAATTTTGCTGTTACACGATTTGGAAAATGTTGCTGTTATTCCAAAGCCTATTTCATGTACATATCCTTTCATTTTTACAGCCTTTTACTCTAAAGCTCTTTTCATGTCCACATTCCAAATCTATATATGAATATGGTGTATTTGTTATATTATTATTATCATTATATATTCGAATATATCAAAAGGATTTTTAAAAATTTTTCACAGCCTTTTACTTCAAAGCCTATTTCATGTACAAATCCTTTAATTTTTACAGCCCTTTACTCTAAAGCTCTTTTCATGTCCACATTCAAAATCTATATATGAATATGGTGTATTTGTTATATTATTAATACAAATTAGGATGACTGCTAGACTTTGTCCATTTAAGCTAAATTCTATGCTAACAGTTTCTTCTCTCGAACTTGTCACTTGTGGAACTCACTTCCGGAACCATGTTTTCCAGCCAACTTTAATCTGCAAAATTTAGACACAATGTCAATCGCTATCTACTGTCCTCCTGATTACTCTTTCCTCTTCCCGCTCATTATTAATGTTTCTGTTACTAAATCTTACACAGAATGTAATCCCTTGTGTCTCAGTTGCTTTACTACCTTGCATGGGGTGAGACCGATTAAAACAAAAGAGATGCAAGTGGATTTTGCGAGGGAAAATTGTAGTTGGTAGGTTAGAAAGAATACGGTATGTGGTTCCACAGGCGAGAAGTGCGAGAAAGGAAACTTAGAGACCGCCCTGCGTAAGATAATAAACTACATCCGACAGCAAGGCCTTGGTCAGGAGGTTTTGAGGAGCCTGGAAACACCTCTTAATTGCTGTTATTGCTAGGTTCACCTTATCTCGGAGTGGTGGCCCCTGTCAGGGTCCCACCTATAGGCAAATAGTTGACCTTCCCCCCAAACGGGTCGGAGCACTGTGAAAGTATAAAAATAGGTTTTAATACTACCTTTACATTTTTGAAAAACAAAATTACCAGCAATAGAAATCTTGTCGGCATTAAATAACCAAAGTTGTTGATATGCCGTAAAACAAAACAAACCAAACCAAACCAGACTCTCTACAAAATTCTCTTTACAAAAATACGACAATGTAACCTGATCTATAAACTGATTTCTTACAAAGAATACATATTCTATTCATATAAACCTATCCTAAAAACATTGTCGGTACTAAATAACCCATTGAGTTTGATATGCCGTGAAACAAAATAAACCAAACTAAACAATAATCTCTACAAAACCCCTTTTTTCTAAAAATATATCAATGAAACTTAATGTACAAACTGATTTCTTAAAAAAAATACATACGGTATTCATACGAACCTTTTCTAAATATCTTGTCATTAAATAACACATCGAGATTGATGATATGTTGTAAAATAAAATAAACCAAACCAAACCAGACTATCTACAAAAAATATTACCACAAAATACATTTTTGAAAAAATAAAAGATTTTT